CTCCCATTTTTAATGTGCCTGGATACCTAGGGCCAACTGTATAACAGGAGGCTGGATCCATCTTTTGCCACATCCCTGGGGCCACAGTGCAACCCAAGTCCCTTGCCAGAAGGGCAACTTTGCCTTCTGCCCTGCTGGGGTGGCACTGTATGACTTACACAGAGCGTGCATGTTTAAGAGTATCTAAAATGAGGCAGGGGCAGGGTGAGTGTCATGAGCAGCCCTGGTCTGGCTAGGGGTGCATGGAAGGGGTGTTGTCATAGGCCAGGTGCTCTGTGTAAGCCAACACAGCCTCTGGGGTGGTGTGCGCTGTGTGGCATCCTTACGCGCGTGTGCAGAGCACATGATGGAACACGGCCCAGGGTCCTCCTGCTGCAGGACAGGAGCCCAGGTGCCAGTAGTGGAGCTCACATACCTGTGGCCAGGAACCTTTGGTAAAACTCACAATTGGTACCAGTGGGTCTCAGAATTTTACCCCAGGACCTGTTCACATTCTAAAACATTACTGAGGATCTTGGAGGTTTTGTTTCAAAGTTTTTGTGAGGTCTATCTGCAGTTGCTAAACATTAGAAATTGAAACTGCGAAGTTTTCTTTTCCTTTTCTTTTTTGAGCCAGGTCTTGCCATGTAATCCAGGCTGGCCTTGAATGCCTTATATAGCCCAGGCTGGCCTCAAACTCATAATTCTCCTGCTTCAGGAAACTGGGAACTTTTTAAAGTACGAGATACACACGTATACAACCATTAGCTATCCGGGCAATGATGTCATCATGTCGCCAAGCCTCTGGAAACCCCCACTATACACTATGAGACAAGGACAGGAAAAAAGACAAACAATGCCTTAGTATGTCAACTGTCTGTCACTATAAAAAAAGTATCTGACATAAATCAATGCTACAGAAGAAAAATTTTATTTTAGCTCACAACTTTCGAGGTTTTAGACCATGGTCAGCTGGCTCCATTTGCTTTAGGCTGAGGTGAGGCAGAAATATCATGGTGGGAGGAGTATGGCAGAGGAAAGCTGCTCACCTCATGGCAGCCAGGAAGTGGAGAGAGGAAGAAAGCCAGAGGAAAGGTCTGGACCCAGGTAGTCTCCAAGGTCACACCCCATGATTCACTTTCAACTAGGCCACACCTCATTTCCATCACCTCCCAAAGATACCGAAAAATGTAACCTAATCAGTGGATTCACCCACTGATTAAAACTCAAGTGATCCAATCTCTTTTGAAGAATTTTGGCTTTGCAGACAGGGCTACACTTTGGGACCCACTATTTGACATGCTTCTGCCCCCTCCTCGGGGCACGTGATGCCCAGTGTGTGAGCTTTGGAGAAGGCTGTGTTGCTGTGGGGCAGTGTGTGTGTGTGTGTGTGTGTGTGTGTGTGTGTGTGTAGGCTTGTGTGATACAATGCTTGTGGGGCACAGAGCTGTTCCTGTGGCACCTGAGGGAAAGCAAAAACTGGGTTGGGCAATGTGCGTATCTGACAGAATGCATGAACAGAGGTTGGATACCCCATGGGTCACAGAACTAAGACCACATTTGACTTTTCTGGGCCACAGGTACTTTTGCCTTCATGGGCCCTTTCTTCTATTTAAAGATAGCATACATCCTTTATGACTCATAAAAATAATCCATTATTATATACAGAATTATATTCTTTAGACTGTAGAATATTCTTAGGGGCTACAGCAGCACTGTGCCTACTGGGCCTGACAGAACAGGGTGGTTGACGGGATGACAGGGTCCACATAGGCGGGGAGGACGGAGGCGGGGACTGAGGTCTGACTCTCAGGAGCCCACGGGATGTGTGCGGGGGTCCCTGTGGGGCCAGAGAGTGTGGGTGGAGGGTGTGAAGGAAGCCCCCCAGCAGGGGTGGAGGACAGGCACCTCCTGGGCCACCAGCTCCTCCCTGTGTACCACAGGGCACACCGTCCCTTGCCCAGCTGGAGCTGGGCATTTTTAGGGGCAGGGGTGGCACGGGCTGGCTCTGGCCAGCATAATTTCCTGTTTCTCTTTTGTCCCTCCAGGCAGGACCTCAGGGGTGACTGAGCTCTTACCTGGTTTTCAGGCGGGGCCCATGGAAGGTACGGGAGGGTGGAGTCCTCAGTAGGGGGCTTCTCCCAGGAGCCCCAACACCACTTCTGTTACTCTCCCCGACCCCTAACCACTGCTCGCTGTGGACCCCCACTAACCTGCCTGACTCTGGGACATGTAGTGGCCTGCTGTAGGCTTGCGGGTGGACTGGGCTGGCTGGGGATGGGCTTGGCGTGTAGGCAGGGGCTCAAGTGACTGGCGTCCTCTGTGTTCTTCAGGGTTAGGGTCTGGGCTGTGGCTCTGTGCCCTCTTCTGGAGGCTACAGTCTGTCTTGCTCTGGCCAGGTTGCCTCTTGCTTTCTGCTTTGTCTGTTTGAAGCCAGGGGAGTCCCTCACTTGGGGACTGGGCTGGGTTGGAGAGGGTTGGGCAGCCCTCGGCCATTGCGCCCCAATCTCTTTGGGGCATGGAGAATCCAGCAGAGGCTGCAGGTTCCCCCATGAGCTTGCAGAATGGGTCCCCTCTCCCAAGTGTGAGCTCCGCACTGCCCTTTGGAGCCTGTCCCTCCTTCTCTGTCCCTCCCTGCCCCTCCCAGCTCAGGGCCTGTCCTCATCTCTGCAGACTGGCTCTTCGTGGTCGTGGTGTGCCTGGCTGGCTTCCTCGTCTTCCTCCTCCTGGGCATCTGCTGGTGCCAGTGCTGCCCGCACACCTGCTGCTGTTACGTTAGGTGCCCCTGCTGCCCGCAGAAGTGCTGCTGCCCAGAGGCCTGTAAGTACCCCTCAAGTATGTCCTATATGGAGTAGGACACGTCTTCCTGTCCCTCAGGACAGTGCCAGTGGCAGGAGGTTAGCAGTGAGAAAATAGGTCAATGAGTACCTGCTATTTTGCATTATCATTCACTTACTTCAACTTAATTTTCATTTACCTTGAGGTTTTTCTTGAAAGTATAATTTATGCACGTGGTAAAAGGAAAATGTCCAATTAATACAAAATATTATCCACAGGAAATTGAAACTCCCCCCCAAAATAAAATCTCAGCCAGATGTGGTGGTGCACGCCTGTAATCCCAGTACTCAGGAGGCTGAGGCAGGAGGATTGCAAGAGTTCAAGGCCAGCCTGGGCTACATAGTGAGTTTAAGGGCCAGCCTGAACTACAAAGGGAGACCCTGCCTCAAAAAACCAAATGCACATTTTGTGTAGAGCCTATTTATGTAGCACATCAGAGTGGGCATCTGTGGAAGATTTGGAATAGAAGTGGGACAAGAGATGAAGGGGCCAAAGACAAATAGAGGGAAAGAAAATAAGAAAGTTAAGATAGGCATTGTGGCCCATGCCTGTAATCCCAGCTATTTGGGAGGCTGAGGCAGGAGGATTGTTAAGTTCCAGGCCAGCCTGGGCAACTTAGTGAGACTCTCAAAAAAATAAAAAGGGCTAGGGATGTAGTTCAGCATTCCCTGGGTTCAACCCTTAGTACCACCAAAAAAACAAACAAAAAACCAAATGAAAATCTCCCTCTCACCACAGGAAGAGAGAAAGATCTCCCTTTCATCACTGCCCTAGGCCACTCTGCACGGACAGCAGCTGTTGCTAATTCCTTAATGTCCTTCAGGAGGGTGTCGGGTAGACCAGCTTCTTGGCACACAGCCCAAAGTGCACGCATTCATGGGAATGACAGGCATTTACAAGTGGGGGCAGGTGGAGGTTCCCAGCTGGCTGGATGCCCGGATGGCTGACAGGCTGCGGCCCAGTGAGTACTTTGCCCTCTTGGAGTCTCAGTTTCTCCCCTGTAAAGTGGGGCTCCAGGTGGAGCTCACTGTTCCGGGTGAGTAGGGATCTGGTGAGCTCATGTGCACAGCCCTGACCACAGGGCTGGGCCTGTGTACCGTGCCTGCTAGCTGTTGGCCATTGCCACAGTCAGTATCAGTGATGACTGCAGATCAGGGACTTCCACACCTGCCGTGTGACTGACAGGCATCAGCCCTTTCTCTCCCAGGTCTCATGGGGCGGTGTGAGCTTCAAGAGAAGCCTGTGAAAGTGTGTGGGACCAGGCCCCCGCGCCACCCATGCTGTCTCGCACTGTGGTCACTGAACTCAGTGGTGGGCAGCCTTGTTCCTGGGACTGCTGCTTCCCTGAGCAGGCCCCACTGCTCTCTGCAGGATGATGCTGGCCATCCTGTCCCATCTCATTGTTTCAGTTGACAGCTTTGGCTCAGGCTGTGCCCCAAGGGTGGGCTGCCACCAGATTGGCAATTAACCACTAAGAAAGAATATGGCCAGTGTGGCACAAGTCTGTTTCAAAGCCCTATGTCCCAAGGCCGCACTTCTCTATTCCAAGACCCTGTCAGTTTGGAGCCGTCCAAAGGCACCCCCTGACTTCTGCTGCAGTCCCAGCCCCTTGCTGACTAATCAGGAAGCAGTAGCTCCTCGATGCTAATTACAGCATGGGCAAGTCACCTGAGATAATGAAGGGGTTTCTTGTAGGCGGGGCTGAATCCTTAGTCTCCCACCTTCTGAACTAAATCAGGGGGCAGCCTGTGGAGTCCCCAGGAGGAAGTAACTTTGTTGAAGGAGCAGCCATCCAGACCTTCTGCGTGGGGAGGAAGGAAGCAAGAAAGGATTTGCCCTTGAGCTGTCAAACTTAAGAGCCAGGCGGGGCAGGGTGGGAATAGGTGTGGCCCGGAGTTATTTTGCTGCTTGGCAGAGGCAGACAAGTGAACTCCAGAGGCCCCTGTGCACTCCTGTTGGCTGCATCTGGCTGTGAGATGGGGTGCCTAGTGGAGGGGAGGGGCACCTAACAGGCATGACAGCAGCGTGGTCATGGGATCCCCCAGATGAGTCCCTGGTCTAGAAGAGGGGCCCAGCCACCCAAGGAGAAACTTGGTTCCTGCTTGTGGTGATAGTGGTGGGCCCAGCATGTGGGCCTTACCTAGAAGGGTGGCTCTGCACACCATCAGCTAAAAGCACACAGGTCCAGGGCAGAGGCATTTATTGCTAAGGTATCTGGAAAGTTGGAGTTCTGTGTAAAACCTTTTGATTGTCAAATGTTGGCAAACTACCATCACGTTAAATATATTGGGCTGCGAGATCAGGGCTGTGGACCACCAGTGTGCATTCTATTCCAAAAGCTCTTTCAGGAATTATGTAGGAGATGGGACTCAGTAAGCTGAAGTCCTCTGGCTTCAGGGGTCCTGAAGAAATGGAATGAGTGGGGAGGTCCAGCCCTAGATCCCTCCAGAGCACTGTAATGGTATAGGACAGCCTGGCTCCTGGATGCCTTTTCATGCCCACTGTGCCTTCCTAGTGTACGCTGCTGGCAAAGCAGCCACCTCAGGCATGCCAAGCATCTATGCCCCCAGCACCTACGCCCACCTCTCCCCTGCCAAGACCCCACCCCCACCGCCAGCCATGATTCCCATGGGCCCCATCTACAATGGCTACCCTGGAGGGTACCCTGGAGACTTCGACAGGAACAGCTCAGGTGAGGCCTGGGGAGAGCCTGGGTGGACAGGGGGGTGGGCTGGGCCAGAAAAGTAGATTGGGGGGAGGGGGCTGGGCAGGCACTGACAGCCAGTCTCCTCTAGTGGGCGGCCACAGCTCCCAGGTACCCCTGCTCCGAGACACGGACAGCAATTCGACCTCTGGTAAGAGCCCATCATTCCAAGGTTGGACAGTGGGGGTGGGTGGGTAGGTGAGCATCCTATCTGCCAACCTGGTCATTTCCGCCTCTGTCTCTAGAAGTCCGTAGTGGCTACCGGATCCAGGCCAATCAGCAGGATGATTCCATGAGAGTCCTGTACTACATGGAGAAAGAGCTGGCCAACTTTGACCCCTCTCGTCCCGGGCCCCCCAATGGCCGTGTAGAGCGGGGTAAGCAGGAGACCTGGGGTTCAGTGGGGCGGCGGGGAAGCATGTTTCCTTGATACCTGCCCTGGGGATGCTTGCTACAGATCTCCGACCTAGTCCCTTGGGCTCCTCCCACCATCAGTGACATCCTCCTTCCCTACAGCCATGAGTGAAGTCACCTCCCTCCATGAGGACGACTGGCGATCCAGACCTTCCCGGGGTCCTGCCCTCGCCCCGATCCGGGATGAGGAGTGGGGTCGCCACTCCCCTCCCCCTCGGAGTCCTAGGAGATGGGAGCAGGAGCCCCACACAGAGAGGCCAGGGAGCGGCTGGGGGGGTGGCCGGCCCCGAGCCCGCTCTGTGGATGCTCTGGATGATCTCACCCGGCCAGGTTCCGCAGAATCTGCAAGGTCTCCTGCAAGTAGCGGGAGGAGAGGACGGGCCTATGCACCCCCTCGAAGCCGCAGCCGTGATGACCTCTTCGACCCAGACGTCTCGAGGGACTTCCCACACTCTGGAGATCCCCATTGTGATGACTTCAAGTCTAGCAGGGACCGCCCTCCTGCTGACCCCAGATCCCGCTACCGGTCCCGGGACCCTCGAGATGATGGCTCCAGGCCCAGGGATCCCCAATATGATGGGCGGCTGCTAGAAGAGGCCTTGAGGAGAAAGGGGCCAGGGGAGAGGAAGAGACCATTCAGGGAGGAAGAGGAAGAAGAGGCCTACTACCCTTCAGCGCCTCCCCCATACTCTGAGACGGAGTCTCAGGCCTCACGGGAGCGGAGGCAGAAGAAGGTGAGCAAACAACCGTACCCCACTCAGCCCTTGCAGACCCCTCTCCATGCCCGCCCAGTTCACACCTTTTCTTTCTCTTGCAGAACTTGGCCCTCAGTCGGGAAAGTTTAGTCGTCTGATCTCACATTTTGTATGTAGCTTTTGTACTTTTTATTTTTTGGTACTGGGGACTAAACCCACAGCTTTCGCACTGAGCTACGTCTCGGGCCCTTTTTCACTTTTTAAAGTTTTGAGACGGTCTCGCAGAGTTGCTCAAGCTGAGCTCGAATTTACAGTCCTGCCTCGGCCTCCCTGTGTTGGGATTGCAGGCATGCGTGCCACTAACTTGCGCCACTTCACGGAGCTGATACTTTTTTTGATTTGAGAGAATATTGAAGATCTCCTAAACCTAATAAAATTGATAAACACACGGCCCGTCTTGAGAGAAGCGTTTGTTGCTGCAGGAGGTGGGGGTCCCGAGCGGTTTCGGCTCCTGTCTGGAAAACGCCACATCCCATTTACCTTCCCGAACTGAAGTCCCGGGTCGGGAGGAAGAGCCAGGCCGGCCCGCAGCCTGCCTTCTCCCCAGACCTAGAGTACGTGCCCCGCGCAGCCTCAACCCGGCCCTGCGTGCACGCCCCGGCCCCGCCCCAACGTGCGCATGCGCCTCCGCGCGCCCTGCCAGGCCGCCGGGAGCGCGCGCGCGCCCCTGAGTCTTTCCCCTTCTACTCCGTCCCCCTCCCCCTCAGACCCGACCTACTTTCTCGTCTCCAGACTCCCACAGCGTGTCTGGCCCCGCGGCGTTCCACCCGCACCCGCGTTCCAGCCGGCGACCTCGCTCGCGCCCCGCCGAGACCCGGGCCCGCGCGCGCTCGCCATCCGAGACCGACAGCGCGCGCGCTCCCCGGGGGCAGCCCT